AAAATGCATTATAAAAGAAATAAAAAAGGAAGCTTTTTATAATACAATGCTTATAACCTATCAGAAGTAAACAACAAGTTATACATAATAAGTGATATATTGAATATATATATATTCGGGAAATCTGAGAGAGGAGTTTTATAGTGATGTGTATATACTATATACATGCTATATATGTGATTTCCAACAAAGATATATATGAAACACATCAAACTAAGCCTGAATATTCTCCGGAGTTACTTCTTTAGTCTGATTAGACTCTAATTAATATAAATAATATATTTTAAGTTTTGGATATTGTTTTTGGAATCTATAGATCTATTTATAATCTATAAATGGAATTTCTATCAAGATAGGATTTCGAAATAATATAATCCAAATATATTGAAGACGAATTTTGTTGACTATTTCTTTTATTAATATAAGTGTAATAGAAAATCTAGTAATAATAAGTTATGAAATCTATTATATAAAAGTATTTTCTTTTGTATTTGAAAGAATTTGAGCTATTTCATAGGTTTGGAAATGTATTTTCTTTTTAGCTAGTTTATCAGTTAGAATAGACTTAGGGATTTCAAAATGCTTTATAGTCTTTTTAATTGATTTAAATTCTTTCAATTGAAATGAAATTATAGTTTTTTGAAGTTTTTCTTTAATTTGAATAGATGTAGAAGGTGATTGGGTATATATAATAAAAGTTATTATAGTTTCAAGTTGGTAATAGGCTAAAAGTGTTCGAGTTCTCTATATGTTCGAGTTCCCTATATGTTATATTAGATAATTATAATATTTAGAGAGAAAAAATAAATTATATTAATAAATAAAGAAAGTTTATAATTATATATAAACGAATTTTGTATGTAAAATGAGTGATATATTTAGTGATATAATCTATTCGCATATGAATCACATTATACTAATAATGCATGTATATCTCTGCAGCTATCAGTCAATCAATTGTTTCCGGAAATCTTATCACATGAACAGGGGGTGGACAGGCCTAAAACGACCTTCTCTTTCGACTTCGAACACTAAAGATTCGCTGTATAAAGTTTTCGACGTTCAAAATCTCAGAGATCCAAGTCAAAAGAATGGCCGTCCTCGATTCTTTCTTGATTATTCGTACAGTAATTCTTAATCGGAACCACTACATCATTCTATCGTGTTTTATTTTCGTTAACAAGTACATACGCTTGCTCACTCCCCAGGATTCCCGAGGAATTCTGCCATGAAGTCCAAATTGTGATTGCCTGGACTTTCGAGAACAAATATACTTTTCACCCAATCCTTTTTCAACTTATGGAATTTTTAGTTCAAAGGTAAGCAAGCAAGCAATCGTGTGGGCAAGCTAGAAGAGTAGATCTTTTTTCTTTGACAACACTCATACCTGAATAGTTAACATTTATCAACATGGCAACAACTGTGACGACACATTTTCTCTGACGTTCAGTGGCAAAGAAGTTGGATGGAGTGATAGTATCATTTAGTTATAGAGTTTGTCTTTCCAGGAAATTCCATGGTATCGCTTGTCTCGTGTCATCTTTCTCAGCTATTTCTTTGCGCCCGTTTGGCATTGAATTTGACATCGCGATTCAATGAAGTTTTCTTTGAATGTTGCTGTGCGTCTCGATTTTTAGGCCACCATATCCTATAAATTCTCTATCGTCTGCTTTTCCAAATTTCTCGAGATCCTACCGAGTACATATCATTATGAATACTTTTCTGCCATCTGGTCCATGGGAACCAGCCATGTCTTCAGCAATGTCATGATTTAAGTTTCACGTATAATGATTCTAGATTCGCTTCCTTTCTTGCCTGGTAGATCTGAGACGTAATGGCATATTGATAGCTTCATCTTGTAGGCCTTTTTGCCCTCCATTCATCCCATGTAATCAGCGATACATTTTCTTAAAACCGGGAAGGTCATCTCAACTGCTGAATCTATCAAGAGCGAGTCCTCAACCAAGAAAATCAAGCGCTATGTGAGTCTTTGCTAATTACTCTCTGTTCAATTCTGTATCGCATTCCTATCTTTCCATTCCATAGGAACTCTCGTTTTTGTCTGGTTCTATCAAGTCTAGAGCCAGTTTCGTGTTTTGCGATAGATTCAAGAGGTATTTGTCTTGGATTCGCGACGTCCTGAGACTCGGAGATAAAGATCTAGATGTCGGTATTGATATTCGATAAACGTCGCCATAACATTCGATCAATGTTTCTTGGTTCTTTGGATACTGCATCGAATGCCGTTAACTTCAATCTTCGTGGTTTAGACTTTAGAGACTTCAATTCATGTGCCAATACCCGCGGTATTCTCAATCGTTCTGACTGTAGAGCGAGATCGAATCCGGAAGAGTCCGAAAGTAGCGTGTCGAAGATGGATGGTTTTTGTCATTCAGTTTCTAAATCTTGAGCTTTTCAATTGCTTGAGGGTATGAGTCGAATTTAAAACTCGAAGCGTGTGCTAATAAGCAATGAAATTTTTCATATATATTTGATAATAGTATTCGAGTGTTCAACATTAAATGGTAATTGTTCTTTCATGTGTGGTCTCTTTCAGAAAGATGAAGGAATGTGAGCTATTATCACCTCATAAATAAGGAAGGTGCAATCATGCCATGTCTCGCCGCCCCTATGTATCTGCCAATAGTCTGAGCTTCGCAACCCGTTTCCGTAACTTATCGCAATGAAATGCTGCATCTCAATGCTCAGCATACTTAACATGGATTCACATTGGCCTGTTCATTTCGCATATCCTCGTGGGAACAATTCAACATGTGATCTAGTATCGCCTTCTCTCTTTTTACTTCATGTTTAGAGATGTGTTCGATTCCTACCAAGTACGTCCCCATAGCATCTTCACGATCGATCCAGACTACAATCTATTTGTAATAACTCGAGTAGCGTTGCCGTGAAAACACCGATTCCATCCTCAGTAACCAATCCTTTCACTCGAAGTATCTTTTCAGGGGGATTTAAATAATTCAACCATACGGACATTCTCTTTAACCAATGCTATCCCTTGCAATATATCGTTACGTTTTTTAGGGGGTATTTTGGACAATACTATCGATTTTAGTACACTTTTACATTATCTCAAAGGACCATTGGTTGAATTTTGAAGCCGCGAAATTTCGAAATCCCCCCTCATGCAGTTCTCTTTTACCAAGTTTAGCCATGTATGTCCTGTTTGCTCAAAATTCAGGAATCGCACTAAAAGGTTTAAAAGAATTATTTTGCCTATAAGTATCATCATTTTCCCCCTCTCTCAGATCTTTTCTTCTTCTTCTTCATTATACGAGTTTACTTGGGGTCAGCTTTGTCTGATAGGGGGTGGTGGCCCAAGTACAATTCAGCATGCTCAACGTAAGTGTCAGTTGCAACTACCAACGAGTTGATTTTTTCTTTAGAATTTCGATCACGACCGAGGGCGACCGCGATGATATGGAAGGGAGGATAAAGGTAGGGCGTGTGAACATGGCCTCATATCGTACAGGCAGGAGATGGGCTCGTCTCTGCAGGTCAAATGCGATGTGGGTGGGGGGCATTGTTTCTCTGGCTCTTTAGCTGGGATTCGAAGCCTACGATACAATTTAGATGAATTGGATTGTTACAAATTCGGCTTTTTACTGTTGTGTGGGCTCTAGTAAGACAATTCGAGGCGACTCTGGTTATCTTGTAAATTATTTTTATATGATATGTACAATCAATATGACCGCAATCACGCTGTGACTTCAATTTTATCGAATAAGTATTTCTCAAGTGGCTTGTTGCTGAATATATGCCATTTATCATTTGCTTCACTGACGCTGCGGAATATCGGAAGTCTAGTTGGTAATGGCATTATACTCGAGATGAGCCACAGCCAATAATTGAAACCCTCGCATTTCAAGCGGAAAGCTCCAAGAGTATTATATTGCATCTACTGCAGCTAAATGCCTGTTTTATAAGCCTGATCAGAATATCAGGAGTGTTGGCCACGTTAGATTGAAGTATTGGTGAAGCATAGTAATCGAGCGAAACCACCTTATTGTACAAGCATAGAATATATATTCATGTACTAGCCACACTAATTACTTTCGCGAATTATGTACATTAGTCACTCGACTAGACACTCTTCAAGTGAAGGGATGTGCCCAGTAATATGCAGCCAGTCACCCAACTTAAAACCTCATCGATACAATTGCTCACTATAGACAATCGAGTCTGTTTACATCTATCGGTACTCAGATTATAGACTCTCTAAAAGGTGCAGAGATGTAACATGAAGTTGTGGGCCAATGAATTTCCATCTGAAATTAAATTCTCGCTAAACTTTATTTTAAGGTTTTAGGGGGAACATGGGGTAATCTTAGCGATGGGGTAGGTGAAGGTAGGATCAACTTGGTCTAGCGTCCCTAGTTAAAGACACATTATAATAAATTTATGTGATGCTACGAGTTAAACTGCAAAGATCTTTTCCTAGTACATACCATTTACGACTAGTACATGATGTTCTAGTAAATCAAATGATGGTAGCACGACTAAATGTGAGTCGGATATCTTGATAGCAATACAGCTGTAAGTTCTCAGTCATTGTTATTGTACATACAAGAAACTTCTGTACATGGTCATGGTTCAATTGCCATCGGTCTGCCTCCTCGTAACACAGCACATCGAGGTCGCCAACTAGAACCTCTCAAAGTTCGTCCGAGCACAGACCACCATTAACATATCGTCCTCGATCACCTGAACAGAAAGTCCAAATGCTGACTGATTACGCTTATAAACCTTTTTGTTTCTGAACACCGATCATGCAGTCATCCCGATCGATATCCTTGAGTAGAAGATGATTAACTCCTTATCCGAACTCCGCTCTGTTGATGTTGAGAAATACAATTGTCAGCAACGGGCGTATTATTCATGGATTCGTAGCTTATAAGAACGGATCAGGTTTTCACGATTCTCACAATTCACCTTCAGAACTGTTGAAGGTCATTCTCAGTTTGTTATCTTACCCCAAAATGAATTCCACCCCAGAGAACTACGGAATTGTCAAAACAGCTGTTGGAGAAGCAAGATTGCAGCCAATTCCCATCCCACGACTTCGGGATGGTTACATTTTCGTTAAGACAATTGCCGTTGCAATAAATCCCACAGATTGGCAAACCGTAGATGAAAAGTCCAGTCCAAGGACAAAGGGTCCCACGCTTTTGGGATGTGATTTTGCCGGGATCGTGGTTGAGGTTGGGAAGGGTGTGGAGAAAGAATGGAAGAAGGGAGATAGAATAGCGGGGATGGCACATGGAGGTTCGTCTTGTGTATAATGAAATGAATCTGTTTGACAAGTGCTGATAACAATATAGGAAATGACCTCGAGCCTGAAGATGGAACATTCGCAACGTATATTGTGGTCAAAGGCGATGTTGCATTTCACATTCCGGATAATGTCAGTTTTGAGGAAGCTGCATCGCTTGGCGTCGGAGTCACTACTGTTGCATTGGGCTTCTACAAATACTTGTCTTTAACCCTCCTGAAATTTCCGCTTTCCATGCCGAATCGTCAGCGCGAGCTCCCTATTTTGATTTATGGAGGAAGCTCGGCAACTGGAACATTAGCCATTCAGTTTGCAAAGTTGTAAGTTCTCTGTCCCCAGTCAACCATTTATTAATAACTAACAGATACCATAAAAGGTCCGGATTGCAAGTAATCACTACGACGTCACCGAAGAACTTTGAGCTGTTGAAAAGCTTAGGTGCGGATCATGTTTTAGATTATGTAAGAGAAGACAACTTTTGGCTTGTGGAATTTCTTGACTAAGTCGCGGCTTTGTCTGAAGATTGAATCTACATCTGAAATGCTCAAAACTCCAAGATAGCGTGCTAATATCATCCAGCATGATACCAACTGCGGAGCCGAAATCCGCTCGCTTACTCAGAACAAACTTCACCACGTCTTCGACACAATAGCCACCCAATCCAGCGCTCAAATCTGTGCCAATGCACTATCTACCTCCGGCCACAATCTTTATGTAAATCTCATGGGTATTGAAATGCCCAGAGATGACGTTAGAAACATTTTCTTCCTCGGATACTCGGTTACTGGCGAAGAGTATGAGATCGAAGGAGAAGTATGGCCAGCTGCTCCTGAAGATTTTGAACTCGGGAAAAAAGCTTTTGCACTATTGGAAAGATTGTTAGAGAATGGGCTGATTAAGAATCATCCGGTGAAGATAATGCATGGTGGCTTGAAGGGAATATTAGAAGGAATGAGAGAAATGAAAGAAGGAAAAGTAAGCGGGGAGAAGTTGATTTACAGAGTTGGGGAGCCTTGATATATAATTGAGGGATAATTATGTCTTGGAATGAATTCCCAGTGCTATCTCACCGTTCCAATAAATGAACTAAACTTCAGGGTGCTTCTCACAACATATCATATGGGTGTGGGTACTTATGGCTTGGCTTTGTATGTAACTCAATCTGATGATTCTGACCGCGTAGTTTAAGAAAAATTCGGCCTTTGGTGCCACAAAAAGGTGATGGTCCAAGTGATGTAGATATCGACTACATCTACTCACTCAACCTTCTCCTTGATTCACTAAGCTTTCAGTCTAAGAATGAACCATTGGTCTCTCCTCATACAAGCAAAGTTTTCTCAGCTTATGTGATAATCGCGGATTACTTGACATGAAATCAATCAATTATGTATAAAAAGTTGCTTCATGTAGTTCAATGTCCCATTCTCCTCATGATTCTAAATGAATATTTGTATTTGGTCTTTGTTCAAATGATTTCTCTGGTTCGATGCAGGACTATTCACATATCATACCATTTTTGAAGTCGATTGATTATCATTGTAGGTCAAAGAAATGTGTTATGGTGCAAAGTCTCTTATATTAAAATGCGTCCGTAAAGAATGAATGCCCATAATCTTAAAGTGAAGTTTTGACCATCTATTACATATAACAGCACTTTGACACCTCGAAACGTGATCATCTTTCAATACCTCAATCGAATTCACATGCGACTGTATCTTGAATGAAAACCGAGTCCCCTCAATATTCAATACCACCCTACACGATTTCAACACTCGCTTGTTCCATTTCGATTTGACACCTTCGGTGGGAAACCCACCACCTATGGGTACCTAATATTCATCGACAAATAATCTTCATATATCTTCCGCAAAATCATCTTGTGATTCTATAGTCAGACTTTGGATAATAGATCTGGAAGCCCACCTTTGGTACTTATCCACGTGCGGGTTCCTGTACGATTTCCAAGCTTGATCTAATGCAGTAAGACCACCGTTATTCACAATGGAAGGATCTGCACCTTGTAATAAAAGAATTTCCACACCGTCTCTCGAAGAAAATGGGAAGAAAACCTCGGCTGCAAGACTCAAAGCAGTATCCCCTTCATTATTCTGTGCATTGATAGGCGTACCGGCATTGACAAGTACTGGCAACAGCTCATTCACACTGTTGTCACGATGTACAGCAACATGCAGGGCTGTGCATTGAGAATTATCAACCGCCGCTATGTCTACGCCCTTGTGTATTAGATATTCAATAACCCTTTCGAAGTTTTCAGGATAGTAGCCTCTCATATAATTATGATTTTCCTTAGCTATGAAATGTATAAGTGTGGCTCCTGAAGGATCCTTGGCCATGATATCTGCCCCAAATAAACAGAGAATATCTAGGATGGCGATATTGCCTTGTAATACAGCAATTTTTAAAGGTGAAAAGTCTTGGTTATTTTGTTTGTGTACGCTTTCGTAATTGTCTTCCAAGATTCCATATTCATCGACACCCACAAGAGAAGAAATAACACTATTGGTCTCACCATTCGAATTGGCTCCATGATGAAGTAGAAACTTGACCATTTCTTCGCGATCTTTCTGAACAGCTATACCAAGAAGACTGTGACTTTTGTATCGATGTTTCAGTTCTTTTGTGAGCGAATCGTTGACATCTATCATGAAATAGTCAAGTAGAGTCTTCGCAACTTCAATGTGTGAGGCCTCGATAGCTTCACCAAGGCTCATGCAGATAATCTCGTGCCCGGGACTGCCTTTCGCATAGTAGTCACTATATCTGCTAAGAAATTGTCTAACGATCATGAAATACCCCTCCTTAGCTGCATACACCAATGGGTAATATATTTTCCCAACAGAATCGGTCATAGATGCATTCCAATCAATATTTTTGTATGGCAACAAAGTCATGATAATTGCCATCAATCCGTATATACAAGATATGTCTTGGATATGTGGAGGGTTTGTGGGGTCAAATTCGTAGCTTTTGATTTTACAGAAATCTCGGCGCCGCTCTGTAACTCTGGTGGTTTCAATCCACTGTTCGTATGATGCACTATGGCCCATATCTAGATCATTACCGATAAATTTTTTCAAAAACTCGCTAGTTACCACATCTGGCTGCCCTAATTTACAATGTTCAGGCCAGTACTTCACTGCGTAATATTGAAAATATTCACGTTGTCGAACAATTTCGTGTGCCTGCTCTTTGGAAGTGATGGCAATGCGATTACGCAAAAAAATGTAGAGACATCGATTCATCATGAATAATTCTCTGGATTGGATGCTGAAATAATCTCTTGGGGCGCATTTTTCCAGAAATTCTCGGACCGAAAGATGTGCAAAGCGTAGAATCCGTTCTTCCTCATCAAAGATTATCAAGTTGCAACAAACGTCTAGTAACTCATCAACTGTAGAGACCAGGACATCGTTTGTGTCAATATCAACAGTGACTGCAGCGAGCATCTCAATCTGACTGAGTTTCCGCCTCGTGCTTAATAACACCTGTAATGTCCTGATGGCGGCTTTCTGACTTGGCTCTTCCATGTTCATAATATCTTGATAAACAAGATGATGAGATTCTTCAAGCGATTTCGGGAGCTTTCTGAGAACACTATCAATATCTCCTTTGACCCTAACCTGCTTACACAATTGCTGTATCTGCAAGGTCACCCATCTAAACCTGTTTAACGGTTCATCTTATCAGTAACTGTCGTCTCCAGAACAGAAGCAGATGAACCTACATTCCTTGAGATCCATCGATAAGAGCTTGAGTTATTTGTTGCTCTATTTTCTTCTTTTCTTCGGGTAGAAGTTTTCCTTTAACTATCCTTTTCTTTTCAATTGCCTCGGAAACTTCCTTTTTGACATAATCCTCAATATCTTTGGAAATGTGGCTAGATTGAATTGAGATGCATGGTGAATCGTCAAGTTGACTGACTATGTCATTGTCTCTCCTGCTCGAAATGAAAACCTTGACAACACTGGCAGATTCATCAATGATGGTTTTCAAAGATTCAATAAGGCTGTATCTCTTACTAGGGTCGCATTCATCTAGTGCATCTATCACCACATAGAAAGGATCTACTTGAAGTATCTTAAGAAGCACTTCAGTAGTCTCATTCGAATTCAAGAGCTCCTGTGGAGGAGAGATTCCTCGGTTCTCTTTTATCAAATTCTTGAAAATCTCAACAACAGGCTTTCTGATTGGAAGATTAGCGGTATTTGATGATACTTGCTCTAAAATACTACGTAGAACTTCTTCGGGGTTGGCTCTCTCGGGCTCTGCAGTGTTACGAGAACAATAGAAATATGCGACTGGAGCCGCAGTCCCCATGCTGGAAGACTCCTGACAAAGACTTTCGATCACCGCGGATCTGCAAATGCTGTCAGAACTCTGATTGTGTTGATATCTCAGCTGGCGTTACCTACGTCAAGACGCTTTTCCCGCAACCGGCTATTCCATTGAGCCATAGTATAGACGACGCACTTGAATCCTTCCACTGGATGTAGTCTGCCGAATTTAGAAGCCATTCGCAGGAGCCTTCAAGGCGCTCGCTCCGCTTTAGTTTGTGATGCTTTCGGTACGGTATTGTTGAGAGCCATTTTAACAACGTCTCGCGCTCTTGAAGTTCTAAAGAATCTTGGTAGTCCTGCAAAATTGTTGCGCTTCTTACGATTGGTTGTTCAAATTGTCGAAGAATATCTTCGAATTGACGAATGTATTGAGCGTCAATCAACCTGGTACAATCTGCAACTCGTTGATGTTTGACCCATACCATTTTAAGGCCATCTTGTAATTTATTCGAGGGCAATTTGATTGCCGAGATTAGACGGTTTGGGGTGCTTTTTCGATATATTTGAATTGCATGTGATTTAAATGTCAAAATCGCCACATAAAGTTCCAGCAAGGCTCCATCAAAGCCCGTGTCATGACCAGCAGATTGTGAGTACAGATCTTCGAGCACCTTGCACTGAGCGATCAACTTTGGGATTTGTTCCAACCCCTCGATCAAAATCCCAAGCGACTGGCTATCTTCGACTGCAATCGTAAGAAGCAATCGTACCGCTGCCTAAGGGAGAGCTGCATGGCCAGGGTCGTAACTAGCGATAACGTCTCCCACATCCTTCACTTTATTCACCCAGATAAGGATCTTTTCGAAGAGATCTCGGAAAATCACAGTTGTGCCATTCTTCTTTTTGTATTTCCAAGCTTTTTCTATGCACAATTCCCACTCTTTGTGGAAAGATTGTGGATGTCTTAGAGAATGTCCAAATAACCCGTTCGAATGGGGTCTAGTTTGATTTCGTCTTTGTCTTCCTTCTCCAGTGATTCCCAGGCTTGGTGCCATCGTTTCTCGGCCACTGTACGCTGCGGTATCGTGGGAGTTGAACATGAGCTAGCCATTTCGAAAATTATACAATTTATATATGGTTGTAAAATATTTGGGGGGAATGAATTTCTTCTACGTTTTTGGGGCGTTGCCATTTCTGCGAGGCTGGCCTTGGTTGCCATCACAATTGTGTAACTATCCAGAAGGAGCCGACAAACTCACTGGCCAATTAATAACCTTGTCCATTTCGAATCCCACAGTTCAAGTGGACTTGAATAATCAAAATCACAGGGGTGGAGGTCACATATGATTTGCTGGTTATTAGCCCAGTGACCGCAGCTTGGCAATAAGCTCTACCAACCTAACCTTGTATTTGAGTTCTTGATTGAGTGAATTGTCGTTCTTTCTCAGTTCGAGACTATAAGGGATATACTTCATTAGACCACGTTGTTTCACACACCTTCTCTAGGTATATAAATTGTGATTGTTTTGGTTCCAATAGAAGGAGGTGGAACCTAAGCCTTAAACCCTAATTTAACAAATCGCGACGGCTCTCGGGCTGATTTCATACCGTATTGTCTCGGACTCAGCTGCTAGATACTCAAAAGAGAGCTGGGTGTTTGCAGGATGCGCCGTGTACAGGTGTTGAGTCTTCGCACCCTCTTGTTCAGGTATGGGAAGAGTTATAGTACCTCGAGATACCTACCCTCCACAGTCTAAACTACAGGTTTTATAATTCAATACCAAGCGCGTCGATTGATCCCTCTTCGTTTTAGTCTCCTCTCCACCTCCTCCGCCACTCCCACCTTAGACGATTTCTATCTATATCCTCCACTCTCCCCCAACCAACTTCACACCAAGTTAAAACCACACATTATATTCAACTCAAGTCAGTTCAGCTCAACTCATCCTCAACCCTAAGCCCTCGGTCCAACCACTACCAAACAAATCCCTAGCACTAGAAACATCAAAATCAAAACCAAAGAAAAATCAATCCAAAACCAAGACTAGATACAAAACCTGAAGTCAATCCAGAACTAATTCACCACCACACCCCCTCCCCCTTCCCCTCCTCGAACAACCCAAACAAAGATAAATCCACTCCCCAAATCCACCAATCAATAAAGACCCTCCTCAAAATCCAAGAACAGGGTAAAGTAACAAGCACGGAACAGAAAGCTTATCCAAAATTACTCGACGACTATAGGTAATTAGACGAGCAAGTAAACCGAGGAATTCAAACCACAGCCAGGGAGCCTCAGGAGTGAGAAGATAAAACATAAAAGAGAAAGAAAGACGACAGGAACGAGAAGAGAAATATAAAAGATACGATGAAAAAAATATATGTAAAAAACACGGATGAGCAAGTTCCCACTCCCATTCTCCTTCTTCCCCTTCTTCTCTTCAAAGAGTTCCTTGCCTCTAAAAGTTGAAACTCTTAACTACTTATTTTGCTACTGACAAAGTGTATATAGCGCTGAGTATGCATCATCATCATGTATTTTCGACGTTAAAGACTGATGTAGAGAAAGATATATTCAAGAGTTGATATCAAAAAGATATGAACTGAGATCAGAAAACTCTCCTGCATTAATATGCATACCTAGGTACCATCACATCATACAATTACCCATACCAAACAAAATCACACTCAAATTTCACAGACACAAAAAACAATAGCAACAAGCACATTGCCACAAATGAAGCAGAAAACTATGCAGTAGTCAAAATAACCATCAAATTGATATGTTCATGACTATCCATCATCTAGTGATCTGATTACCCTCTCCAATGGATTCATTGTCCACCCTCATATCTCTCAAAATCAATTCATGCATCCCTCCAGTCTCATACAATCATGCAATGCATCCTTATGAACCCATTCCATTCCATCCCACCCCCAACCATCATTTGAGTCGTGAAGATAACTATTTGAAAACAATGAATTTGTGTGCCTTTTAGAAGAGTGAAAACAAATCCAGCCAGCCATAATGTTGATATAAATCCAGATTTGTTGAATGTGCAATCCAGATTTTTTGCTTGTGCATCAAGTCGTTAGACAATGAAAATAAAGAAAACAATAAAAGCAGGAAAATGAATTTTTGGTCGTAGTAACACAGTTAATTTTTAGTATGAAGATCGAATTCTTTCCCTCAAGAAAGATCAACAACAGCTACCAAAGGATGTGCAAGCTAATTTTGGCCAAATGAATTAATGTCCATAGTTGCCACCCCATCCACCACGTTGTTGGTTATTACCAAAACCCTGGTAACCCCCATAACCTTGGTAGCCTCCATATCCACTACTCTGGTGACCTTGACCAGCAGCCTGGTGACTTCCAACACCTCCAAGACCACCATATTGGCTACCAGCTTGGCTACCATGGAGTCCATGTCCTTGAAGATGACTTGGGTATCCACCATATCCACCTTGTTGAGATTGGGGTGGTGGCAAGACTGATCCAGGGGTGGCATTGGTGGCAGAACCAGGACGTCCAGCTTGGGACAAAGATGGGCTTGGTCCATTGGTTGTCTTTGATTCACCGAAAGGTTTCAAGTCATCACTAGCTCCTGGTTGGCTACCTTGAGTTGCATTGTAGTGCTGACCTGAAGGATAAGCACCACGGCTAAATGCATCATGAGAACCGGCACCGAAACCGCCGCTTCCACCTAATGCTTGAGGAGTCTGGGACGATTGGGACGATCCAGCTCGGCCATACTCGCCCAACCCTCCTCCGACTGCGGAATCGCGACCATGGAGAGAAGATCCAGCGAATCCTCCAGCAGCAGGGGTAGAAGTGTGGTCATATGGTGCACCAGGGGACATGTAACCTTGGTATGGTTGACCATGAATGCCACCCTTTCCACCCCCATATGGAGAGCCACCGTAGCCACCGTAGCCCCCGGCTTGTTGGAATTGACTCATGTAAGCATTGTAGTATGGGGTTTGATAGTAAGGATGACCATATGGATAGGCTCCCTGGGGTTGTTGTGAATGGCTAGGTTGAGGTTGGGTCGTTTGAGCAGCAGCACCAGTTTGTTGTTGGCTTTGAGCTACTGGGTTAGGAGTAGTGTGTCCACTGTTCTGTCCTTCTCCTGCTCCTGCAGTTGCATAGCGAGATTGGGATTGTTGACCAGAAGTTTCAGTTTGGGGTCCATTATATCCACCATAAGATCTTTGAGACGATGAAGCATCTTGACCTTGGCCACCTTGTTGCAAGTTATATTGTTGCTGGTAGTAACTGTTGTAGTTTTGTCTTTGTGGATCAGAGGTGTAGTAAGAAGAGTAATCGTTGGGTGCAGAAGAGAATGCACCAGATTGTTGCTGTGCCTGGGATTGAGATTGGCTTGGGTAACCTTCAAATGGGCTTTGCGAGCTTGGTGCTTGTTGACTGAATGCATCGTATGGCTTCTGTGGTAATGAAGACTGCTCTTGAGATCCTGGTTGTCCATATCGGCCATATTGACCCAATTGAGAGCCAGCTTGAGATCCTTGTTGAGGTGCACCTGTGAAGTAGAAAAATTAATAGCTGCTAAGTGAACGTGTTGGGCGCGAAACTTACTTTGAGAAGAAGGATGAGTTTGTGGGGAAGGAAGGCCGGGGGCAGCTGTTGGGTGAGTAGCAGCAGGCAATCCTGGAGCTTGCTTTGGGGTTGGCAAGGTTTCAGAAACTGGGGCAGCTTGTTGAGGGGCGGGAGGCAGAGTAGCTCTTGGTGCTACTGGGGAATGCTGAGGTGGCTGAGCTCTAGTTTCTGGCTCTTCACGATCACCATCAACATCATCTTCGCCTGTAAGGTTGAATGCGCCGAATTGTACAGCAGCTCTATCCACTTCACGATTTCCTGGCATGCGAACAGCTTCTTCCTGGTCGAGTACGCGGCGTTGAAAGCTTGGTGTGCGACCTGATGATCCGGTAGCCTTTAATGCAGAAGCTTGGAAACCACTGGTTGGAGCACGGGAAGCAGCTGAAGTTTGAGTTGGCAATGCTGTGTAGGGTGTAGAATTTCCAGTAGCATTTCCAGGAGCATTTCTTGGGTCCCAGGAGCTTGCAGCAGTGCTTGCGGCTGTCGCACTTGGGGGTGGAACAGATTCATCTGGAACTTGTTCGAGATTCGTTTCCGTCAATTCGTCCTTCGATGGGGTGAGATTAATATTAGCTTCGGGCTCGACAGGTGGCTCGACAGGTGCAATAGGTTCTGGAATTTCGATGGTTTCTGGTTCGGGAACAGAAGGCTCTGGCTCTGAAACGACTGGGGCTTCAACGGGTTCCTCTGGCTTGGGGAGCTCTGCAGGCTTTTCCACGGGTTCTGGGGCCTTCTTTGGCTTAGGTGCTGGTGCAAACATACTTGCCCAACTCTTTTTGACACCATCAGGAATAATAGTTGAAGCGGCACTTGTAGCAGCGGCAGCAGTTGTAGCAGCAGCGTTGGTTGCTGTAGCACTCCAAGTGTTATCAGCCTCAGCAGGTTTGGAAGATTCCGCATCGGCAGGGGTATCTTTAGTCGTGTTTTCAGTAGTGGCAGCAGTATCCCAAGCGTTGGATTCAGTTGTAGGAACAGAGACTTCGGCAGTTTCGTTACGTGTACCATTTGTATGCGCAACTGGAGCTCCACGAGTTCTGCCACCTCTGCCTCTTTCGTTACCGCGACCACGTCCTCTAGTACCGTCGAATCCACCTCGACCGCCCCGGGAAACTCTTCCAGTGTTGGTTGACTCATTAAGAGGGGCAGATGAAGTTGAATCGTGAGCTTTGGACTTAGATCGGTCTTTCTTATTTGAAACTTCTCCCCATTGTGAAATGGTACCTTTGATGGTGAAAGGTTAGTAAACATAATTTAGGAAAATAGTCTTGATAAAGATTGTTGAAAATTGAATGAAATTCTTACCTTCCGAAATGCGCTCAACAGTACTTTCTAAATCTCCATCGGTTTCCTCGAGGGCCATAACGACATCCTCGTCTGTCCAGCCTGGAAACAATTCTTGGATGGTGCTCACTTTACTACCATGCTTCTTCTTTAATTGAACGACTTCACTATTATTTTGCTCAATTGATGCAGTAGTAGATGTGTTCTCGTTGGTTGCATGACTTCTTGCTCCGCCGCGACCACCAGCTCTTGATGTAAAACCTCCACGACCACCACGAGCTGAACCTCTGCCACGAGGCGTTGGTCTGGGTTGTACCTCTGACATTTTATGAGGGTATGTGTATTTGTGTAAGCAAGAGAAAACGTAATAGGAGAAAAAGAGTTGAGGGAAATGTAGAAGATTGTTGGATTGTGGAGGGTTTTCGTTGTATTGTTAGAGAGGAGGAATGACGCTTTTGGTTTGGGATTTTAGGTGAGGTAGGTTAAAAAAGGCACAGGGCACAGATTTAAGCTCTCCTTTTAATAAAATCGGCTTGTCGCGTCAGTTATGTAGGATTATCCACGAGGTTTACTTCTAAAGTAACAAAATTTATTTTAAAATGCGAAAACAAAAGGGTTTGTTACACAATTGAAAAATTGCAATAAAAAGAATAGACAATTATTGGAAGTTATTCAAATGAGCACCACATAGCAAGACATGGTTGATTTCTTACTCTCAAATTTTGAGAAATTCTGATTCCTTTACTACAATTGAATGTTCAAAAGTTTCCTTGGCTCTGAATTTTAGCGCAATAATCACGTGAGATTAGATAATACCTTGGCTCTATGCATCATTTTCATGGAGCAAACTCTTATAATTGGTTGGATTTATCACCAAGGGCGTTAGGCGGCGGCAAAAAGAGCAAACCACAAAAGACCACAAGATCACGGCAGACGAAAAGTGCTTGGTATGAAATAAGGACGGTAACCTGGAGACGAGAGGAAGTGGGAGAGTGGCTCAAGCATTGCACATTCGAATGCACTCAGGTATTGATTGATATCTTATAACACTTGTTACTGAGTCGATTACAATGTGAAGCTTTCTATCTGACAGAATGACAAGCGTTAATCGTGGCTATCTAGATTATGCATCAAAACAATGATTCATTGAATTGATAGAAATCGAATAATTCGAAGAAAGCAGTGATTTGTTACGTCCAGAATGTGGCTGAGGCTGAGGACTGGTGGGTGGCACGAGTGGGGTGGATACGACGATTATGAACATGCGCTGATTGCTGGTACAACATCTTGAAATCTGCGGATTATCATTATCGCAAAAGATACCTAGTCACTGCTGCTGGCATACCTCAAATCCTATCATTTGACTTAGGTATATCCTCTAATTGCACTACCAATCTTACTCATCCCCACCTGTTACAGATGTGGTAGATGAGGTGTACACACATACTGACCGTGCAAAGGTTCCTACTGCAGAAACCGAGGAAGTTGGCGTTCACTCACTCCCCTGACCGTTCCACCCACTTTCAACTATTCCATAGTTTGATTGTCATACTACGAATTAAGTAATCAGAAGAGGGCCTGCATCATTACGTCGATCGTTCTACCTTCAATACGACTTACCATAAAACATTCTGCTTCCAGGGACTGCATTTAAACAATTTAAATTGCTCGCAGACCGGACCTCTTGACGATGTTTCGAACTACTCCACCAAGTCTCTTTCGCCAACTGCCCGCCCTTCTCAAATTTAAGCTTCATCAACCCCTACCCTTAACTCAACGTGAATCTACACAATTACTCGAACTTCTCACGACATCGTTCCGACAGCAACTCGACTCGGAGCATGGTCCTTCGCACACGAGTAGCAATGTCGAACCAACTCAATCCAATAGACAGTATCAAAATGGCAGACCCAGACGTCTCTCAGACTCTGGTCATAAGCACACCGATCGACACATCAAGTCCATTCTCACAAATCCTCTTTTTAACCAACGAACGCAACAAAGGGGCGAGCCTGGATCCACGCAGGATCCAATGGATACATTTGATAGGGCTGTTGGGCGCGGAATGATGACTTTAAATTATGCAAAAGCAATTTTGATGGCAAAAAAGAAACAGCTTCAGTCTTCGCACGAAACATTGGAAGAAAGTATGAAGAAATCAGGCGCCGGACTCAAAATTTTGAAGTGGTTGACGTCAAGTGGTATAAACCAGAATATTGAGTTCTTATTGCAAGATCAAAGATTTGCAATTCTACTCTTTGAGTTCATGCGTGCAGAAGGTTATGAAGAAGTATTTTGGGAGTGGATAAGCAAAGCCATTCACAATACCAACGCTACAGAATTTGAATTCCGTGGTGTGGCTCAACTCCTTTCTAAAATTGTTACACTTACAGCCAGACTCGAGGCATCGTTTAATGATTCAATCTCTATTTTACTTCGAATAACAAACATGGCGAAAGACTTGCGATTCGAAAAGGTTCACAGTCTTTTAACACAACCCGGACAGCATGTATTTCACTTAGTTGTCGAGTCCTCTCGACAAGTGCGAGAAGCCACTTCAATAGAAGCTTTCAAGACATTCCAACAAATTCTGCCCGCGTTTAGCATCCATGATGTTGACCTGCACACTTTAGATTTGTATTCCCCATACCATCGATCCGCAGACCATTTCTTAGAATTCCTTCGACAACAAGATTCTTCAAGAGGGTCGGAAAGCGAGGACCTTGTACAACCATTTGAAAAGAACGAGGCGAAGAAGATGGTTTCGATATCTCTGATGGCAGCCAAGATTCTACTCGAGCAGAATCGGGTCAACGATGCAACTTGGGTAATGGAACACTTGCGCACAAATTATCCCAAACTATTAGGAATTGAAGCAGATAATCAGGAACGGAAAGGAGAAGTTGATGAGGCATCAAGTATTCAAATACTAGAGTCCTTCAGCATAGCTTGAGCCGTAGCTTGATTTCTAGTTAAGCTGGCGAGCATTTTGATGTATTTATATGTAATTGGCGTTAACGGCGGGTTGACCATTGGTCAGTGGATGGTTGGAGGGATAGGACACGCATTGCGATACCGATACATCAATGGCCATGTTTGGAAATATAACATGAGACTAAAAATCAAAGTCTATAAACAAATGCTTCTCTCCTTGATGACTTATTGCGGAATATTCTGGTTGGTATTAAGATTTTTCAATCTCATACCGCTCTCAATTACAATACAAGTCACCTGTTGAGCTGGAGCATAGTAGAGCATGGTAGAATGTCATTAGCAACCCTTTTACCGTATTGATATACATAAACAGTTCACAGGATATTTTCCTTTCATCTTCATACTGCTAGGCACTACATTCCACTTTGGTAGACACAGCTCTATGTTCTCTATTGCAGTGCGTAGAATTGTAAGACAAGTGATGACGTTATAATTCTGTTCAGTCCTGGTCAGCATCACGTGAATAAACGGGTCTACCCATGCATTAGCTTGATGTTCTCCCCTTGCAGGTCTCGGGATCAGGCACAGGACAAAACTCTTCATCATCAACATTAACTCTCATGGATTGAATTGAGTTTCGGGATCGGGTAATTGAGGTGAACACATCTCAAATCATTCAACATCTCTATCTCTTCGTGTCTCTCATATCATCACAACATTACCTAGGTATTGATCTTTTCTTCAATCATTTCTGCAGTGATATAAATATGTGGGAATGCATCCAAACCCTGCCACTTCCCCGCAATTCAGATCGGTTTTTGATTGCGTTGATTGCGCCTCAAGCACCTAGAAGATTCTGCAGAAACACAAGAAAAGCCGTAGCCGACCATGTCCGATCAAATCAAAAGACAGAGGAAAGAAAAAAAAGAAGAAGGAGAAAAAGGCAAAATAATTTGTGGCTCAATCAGGTATTATATTCCTCTTTTTTCCAAGAATTCTCGATGCCGTAATCAAATTCTTGGACGTCTGATTCGTTGATCCTACATCTTAAACTTGATACTTTGACGTATTGGGTGTAATACCCAAAGGTTGCTAGAAAATCTAATCCATTTCCGGTATCCCCTCTCTACGGTAACCTGGAACTAACCTTGAAAATCATTGCAAAAGCTTGTAGTGCCCGAGAGAGCTTGCAAGCTTGGAGCGTCATATTTCACATATTTACTTTGCTTTGCTTTTCAACGTCAACTCTTTGATTATTTCTCGGTTTATTTTGTCGCAACGCTTCAATTGATACGAAAATTTCTATTTGATTACTCCGATTGAATCGCAAGAGACAATTGAAAAGATTGTGGAATTTGGATTGATATTTTTATCTTGGGCAACTAAGTTATACTGAAAAATTTGAAGATTCCCTAAAAGACCTGGAAGACGAGACGATTGGAAAAGATGGCTGACAATAAGATCGAAGAAGGCGACAAAGGTATGTTGAGATCTATCACTTGTTTTCTATCTACTAGAGAGAAGAACTCTGGATTTTACCACCTGAAAACTTCTTGATTTGTACAAACTTCCCCTCACAATCGCTATTTCCATTCTCGCAAGCTTTGCGCTCCGAGATTCCTTCAACTTCCTCAACTTCTTCAACTCCACTCCACTTCACTCTACTCCTCCCCCATTACTTCACTTGCGCATCATTACCCTTTCACGCAAGACAATGGCGATCTTCAATTTACCTCGGCTTAATTTCACACGACTGACAAATCTTCGTACAGTTTCCTGGAGCTGGGGCGGCGCAAATCCAGATGGAACCGCTGCAGAAGTCAAGCCTGGTGAAGTCTCAGTCACTAGTCATCGCGGAAATGAAATCAAAAAGACGGGGGATGAGGAGAATCCAGCAGTACACATTGAGAGAAGTGGGAATGATGTAGTGAAGTTGGCTAGTGAGTTGAAGGTGGAGGAGAAGGGTGAAGAGAGTAAGGAGGGAGAGGAGACAAAAGAGGAAGAAAACGCCAATGAATCAAAGGAAACCAAGGAGGAGACCAAAGAGGAGACCAATGGCGAATCAAAGGATGAAGAAATGAAGGATGAAACCAATGGTGAAGCCAAGGACGAGGAGAAAAAGGTCGAGGCAAATGGTGAATCAAAGGATGAGGCCAATGGTGAATCAAAGGATGAGGCCAATGGTGATTCAAAGGATGAGACCGACGGCGAAACAAAGGTCGAAGAGGAGAAGGTCGAGACCAATGGTGAATCCAAGGATGAAGAGATGAAAGATGAAACCAATGTTCCAGACGAAAAGGTCGAATCCGAGGAAGAAGATAAAAAGGAAGAGGACGTGGAGATGAAGGATGGTGAAGATAAGGTTGAGGAACAGATCACTGAAGAAAAACCCGAGGAAAATGCTGAGGAAAATGCTGAGGAAAATGCTGAGGAAAAACATGTCAAGGAGGACGAGAAAAAAGATTCAAATGGCAAAGAAGATAAATCCGAGACCAAACCCAAGGCCGGCAACAAGCGCAAAGCAGATGAATTGGAAGATGAAGCAGAGAGTCCAGAAGAGAGCGGCACCAAAAAACAAAAGACCAACGCTACTTCTAATGGCACTGCTAATGGTACTGACTCGAAGAAGAAGCCTGGTAGACCAAAGGGTGCATCCACTGGTACACCTGCCAAGAGGGAAAAGAAGCTTCCTGCTGTTGGTCAAGCTCAACGAAAGACAAGAAGTCAAGCACGCAAGGAATCTGTTTAGGTCACTCAAGAGATCACATTCTCTCCAATTGAAGGCTTGATGAACTTCTCAATTTTTGCACACATTTCAGACAACGAAAACCCCACGTGGGGCGAATGACGAATATGATTCCTTTCAATTGGAAAATTCTACGATATAACTTTGGATGCGTTTTCGAATAATCAGACAATCAATCGAATCGAATCTTCTGGGTATATGGGGAAATATAGTGGTCGGTTTTAGTGGTTATTTTATTGTATTGCATTTTTACGCTTTGTATACTATTGCGGGAAAGGAAAGCTAGGTACCGAGATTCAATGATTCTCTGTACTGAAATTATTTGATATGGATTGAGAGGGGCATGAGAGATGAGAGACGGGAAATGACGAATGATGGGATTGAAATGCGATGCAATGCAAAAGTGGAGCGAGTTATCAATAGGAAACCACCCGAATATGCAGAATGAAATTATTATTTACCCGATGTGAAATGCCAATTTTGAACTCGATCTTCTGTTGTAGGTTATTGAGTACGTGAACTTTGTGATATGTAGTTTGTGACATGGTTCGTGATTTGTGATACGGGTTGGTGAGACAAAGTGAATGTTGAATGGGGTAATGATCACATCACACACTCTCTGTGAATTGAATCACGTTGGTAGAGTTTGAGACATGGGATATATGTGTACTGATCTGTAGGTCGGTCGGTCGGTAGGTCTGTAGGTAGGTATGTGATATAACCTTAATTGTATACCTAGACACCGGTATCTAGGTAGGTGGTGATAGTTGATGAATTGTTGTGAGCGGGTGGTGGGTTTGTGGGTATGGGTATGGGTATGGGTAGATTGGGTTTGTTTCTTGGGTTTGGGAGAGTTCAGGTCGATGGGTGAGTGGGTGAGTTGTATTGTATCTTATGTTTTATGTGTATATCGTTTGTTGTAGGTGTATGTTGTATGTTGTATGTTGTATGTGTATGTTGTATGTTGTATGTGTATGTGAGAGGAATGGAGATTATTGATTTATTGGAGGGGGGGGGGTTAAAAGATTGTTTTATGTTTATGGGAGGTTATGCGGATGGATTGAGTATGTATTTGAGTACCGGTGTGGTGGATGGATAGAAAGGGAATGGGATGTGGAAATCAGTCACAGTCTGTATTTTCGTAGATGATGTATTGTAGGGTAGATTGGGGGAGAGAGGGGATGAGTGATAGAATGATAATTGATGCTGCTGCGGGTGATGATGATGTTGATGGTAATACTGGAACGTACTGACGAAATAAAGTTTACATACTAGGTTAGGTATATAGAGTACCAACGCAACATCGTCACATGGATATTCCCCGGTGTGTGGATGGAGCGAGTGGGAAATTCACGGATTGATTGATGATTGTTGGTGGATGTAATGGGTGATGGATTATAAAATGGTACATGTATAGTGCGATGGGTGGAGAGGGAGCGGGAGAGAAGAGAAAGAGAGAAAGAGAAAGAGAAGGGTCTGGACTGGACTGGACTGGATGTTGGATGTTGGGATTGGATTGGATTGGATTGGATTGGATTGGATACGATAGGGATGAGTGGTGTTGGAACACTGCCACCATTTTTATGTCGGTAGGTAGATACTAGGTAGGTAATTGTCTTGTGTGAGTTCGTGGAGGTAAATTGGTAAAGTGGTAAATTGGATAGATAGATAGGTAGATGAAGATATATATATCTATTTTCTCCATGGGATATTAAATAATACATGTCATTCTGAGATATCTCTCTCTCTCTACCCATCCATTCACAAATGTCAAGATTGTTCTATAAATAACCACTACAAAAACACTACAAAAACACCACAAAAACACCACGCAAACGCCAAGAACAACGACGGTATAATTCTCGGGATACCATTTTTGCGAGCCAATGAGAGAGAGAGAAACGTTACTGATTTCAACGTTAATCCATTTGCATCCATTGTGTGGTTGAATTTTCGGGAGAGGTGACGAGTGAGGTGTGATAGGTAGGTAGTTTTGGTCTGGTAGGTAGGGAAGAGAGGATAGGTAGGGAAGTAGAGACTTGGATTTGGTAGATCTTGGACGGATGGGGTTGGGGTGATGACGATGGGGGTGCTTAGGGGCGTGGTGGTTTGGACTGTGGGTGGATTGTGGATTGTGAATGTATGGATGTATGGATGTATCGGTAGTGTGTTGGGAATTTGAGAAGGGAGAAGGGAGAAGAGTTCTCGCGGCTGCGGGAATCTATATTCGAGGTAGACATGATGCTTTGGATGACTGGATGGATGGACTAGATGGACAATGCAACGGACTGAAGACTGAGTTCTGTGTTGCTATGGCTTGGTATGGCTTGGTTGATGATATCTTTAGAAATACGAACCAAGGAGATGAGATAGCGAGGTCTATGTTTATTGTTGGTATTTTGTAAATGTAACTGAATGAAAGAATGAACAAATGACTTTCCTTTGATGCCATTCGAATTCGAATCCGATTGTTCGTGATTCATTCTAGACTCTCTCCATTTTAGTCTTTACTATTTTTTCCCTTCCTGAGGTCATTCTCGATATTTATCATACTGAGTACATCTCATTGACATTGGTACGAATCCGGTTTCAATCAAATAGAATTCCTATCCATCGGTACTTCTCATTGTGGCTTGCCTCTGAACAATTTTCCGAAAATACTTTGATTTCTTCATTTACTTCAAAAAGCACCCCCAGGGAACATTACAAAAACCTTGAACGAGCGTCATTTTCATAAATATCCTAGTCGTTCATATTACAACATTACATGCGGTATAGGCTGGGTCAACAGGGGTCAGTTTGGGTGAAAAAGAATCTGTAGGGGTTGAACCAGACCCCGTATCGCTATCAAGGGTTATTAAGGAACGACATACCAATACTGAAATACATACTTACTTTCATTTTCATACATACATTCGACCCCCCTCGATCTTCATCCATTCAATCCTCACTCACTCGCTCATACAGAGGATCATACACAACGTCGCTTTCCGAAGAGGAGAGAATCGTCAAACGTCTCGTTATCATTCCACTACTTTACCTGCAAAAGGATAACACGCTCTTCGCGCATACGAATACCAACTCCTCTTCTGCGTTTGGCCTTGGGCCTGTCACTGCCACTCGCTCTATACAAAACGTTACATGGAGATATCCAAGATGGAGGTAGGAAGTACGACGGGAGTCCTCGCCAAGAGAGTGTCGGATACACAGAAATTGTTGGATTTGTTAGCAAATCCTTTTCGAGCCCAGGTTTGTTTGTCCCCCATGATGTTTTCTTTTTCCCTTGCGAACATGCATATCTAATTGTTGATTGTTGGGTCAGTTGTCACAAAATTCCATCTACGCAAGTCTCGGCACATCGATAGGATTTACCTTGTTACTCGCCATCGGTTTCTCTCTTCTTCGTCCGTACAATTCTGTCGTGTATGCACCGAAACTCAAGATTGCAGATGATAAACATGCACCGCCGCCAATGGGAAAAGGTCCTTTGGCTTGGTTGGGGCCGGTGCTCAAGACCAAGGAAACCGAGTTGGTGACTCTCATAGGGCTGGATGCGACCATATTTTTGAGAGTGCTGAGGATGTGTCGGAACATATTTTTATGCATAACGGTGGTGGGCTGTGGAATATTGATCCCGATTAACATGACCAAGGGTCAATATACTTCGGAAACGGATTTCGTATCTCGAGTCACGCCGGTCAATGTTTGGGGTTCGAATAATTGGGGGATGACCATCTGCGCTTGGTTATTCGATCTCATTGTTATTTTCTTCCTATGGTGGAATTACAGGGCGGTACTCAATTTGAGGAGAACGTACTTTGAAAGTGCGGATTACCAGGCCAGTTTACATGCGCGGACGTTGATGATTAACGATATTCCCAAGACGCTACGCACGGACGAGGGAATCGGTAGAGTGATTGATGTTGTGGCGCCCCAATCTTCATTCTCGAGAACAGTCGTGGCGAGAAATGTCAAGGAACTTCCGGAACTTATTGAACAGCACAATCAGACAGTTCGTGATTTGGAGGGTTATTTGGCCAGATACCTTAAGGATCCTGCGAATCTACCTCCCAAGAGACCAGAGTGTACCCCTTCGAAAGATGATCCTAATTTTGGATCATATGTCCGAGGTCAAAAACTCGATGCTATCGAATATCTTACTGCGCGTATCAAGGAATTGGAATTGGAGATCAAGGAAGTTCGTTTGTCTGTGGATAACCGAAATCCTTTGCCCTATGGATTTGCTAGTTACGAAGCTATTGATGAAGCACACAGTATCGCATTCGCAGCACGGAAAAAGCATCCCAAGGGAACCACGATTGTACTTGCTCCTCGACCGAATGATATTATTTGGCAGAACATGCCGTTGAGTAGGCAGACCAGAAAAAGGAAGAGAATCATGAACAATATTTGGGTCACTTTACTTACAATTGTATGGATGGCACCGAACGCTTTGATTTCAATCTTCTTGGTCAGCTTAACCAATTTGGGTAGTGTTTGGCCTGCATTTCAAATTTCGTTGTCGCAACACACGGTTTGGTGGTCGATTGTTCAAGGTGTTGCTTCTCCCGCTGTTACATCCTTGGTCTACTTAGTACTTCCAATCATGTTCCGTCGAATGTTGGTCAAGGCTGGAGATCGTACAAAAACTGCCAGAGAAAGACATGTTACGGGAAAGTTATACACTTTCTTCGTCTTCAACTACTTACTTGTATTTTCGATTTTCAGTACTGTCTGGACCTTTGTCTCTACCGTCATCAACAAAACCAATGATGGAACTACAACTTGGGAAGCTATCTACGAAGCAGATTTAGGACTGTTGGTCTTCATTTCACTTTGCAACATCTCACCTTTCTGGGTTACTTCGTTACTTCAACGAAATTTGGGAGCAGCTGTTGATTTGGCTCAATTGTGGACTTTGGTTTGGAGTTTTTGCGCCAGGAAATTCTCGAGTCCTACGCCTCGTGAGATGATCGAACTGACTGCACCACCTGCGTTCGACTATGCAAGTTATTATAATTATTTCTTGTTCTACACTACTATCACTCTGTGCTTTGGTTGCATTCAGCCTCTAGTCATCCCAGCAGCCGCTATGTATTTCTCTCTAGATGTTTTCTTGAAGAAATACCTCTTGCTTTATATTTTCATTACCAAGACAGAATCTGGTGGTATGTTCTGGCGTATGCTGTTCAACCGAATACTTTTCGCAGCAATTCTCGCCAACCTTGTCGTTTTCCTCTCCACTTGGGTTCATGGAGATGGGTCACACATGGAAGCTTATGCTGTAATTCCTCTTCCATTCCTGGTGCTTGGTTTCAAATGGTATTGCGCACGTACCTTTGACGATAAGATTCACTACTATAGCGTCCGCAATATGCTCAAAGATCCAGAATCTTCGCGATCCAAACTCTTTGGTAGCAAAGGCGATCGTCTCGCTTCTCGCTTCGGTCATCCAGCATTATACAAACCACTCATTACACCTATGGTTCATGCCCGAGCTCAAAATATTCTAGCTTCTATTTATGGTGGTCGTCTTACAGATTCTAACAACCACGGCTCGGGCGATAATATGTCAGTTTCGGGATATTCCGATACATTTGCCATGGATCCTATGCGTGCGGGACAACCAGGTCGATCTGCTAAGGGGGGCATGCCTGGATTTGAAATGGTGCCGGAGAATCGTCTGGATTTCTCGTATTACAAGGGAAGAGCGGAATTTGCGGAGGAACATGGTGGTTCGGGTGGAATTTATGGAAAAGCGGAAGACATCATCAGGTCGGATACACCAGGTAGTTCACGCTGGGGACCAGATTCAAGACCAGGTACACCTGTTAATGGTTTGGGAACGCCAACATTGCCAAGTTTCAGGCCAGGGACACCGGATAGTGTGAAAGGGGATATTGGTATGAGTGGGGGATCTGGGATGGGGATGAGGTATTATGGAGAGAGGAAGGATAGTTCGGGAGAGACGATTGGATTGGTTCAGGGTGCACAGGATATGCCTGCAAGTTCCTTACCGGGTGTGCAGGAACGAGCACCGGGTTTCTTGGGTGGTGGACCAGGAGGATATGGTAATTTACCGCAGGAAGATATGGATGGGAGGGGAAGTGTGGATCATGATCCGATGAGTTATGATTATTTCCGTTCCAGGAGGACGAGGAATTAGATGTCGGAATGAAGGGGATGGGGGTGTGGAGAGTTGAGAGCAAGGAGATGAGAAGCTGAGAAGGTTGTATAACAGGATATGCAAGTGAAATGAAATGGTAGATATTGGGAGGTGTATTTTTTTTTTCTCTCTCGGCTTTATATGGAGATTAGCGATGGGAATATGAGTCTTGAAAGGCTCGGGATTAGCATTGGTATGCATGTATGCATGAATGGAAAGGGTTGGGATGGTTGGTTGGCTAATGGCGTTTTTGGGTTGTTCTCCTTGATTGAGAAATTTGAGGAGTGGGTAGAGTGGGTGGGGATTGGGGGTTGTAGATGGGCGGGAGATGGAAAAGGATGAGTTAGATGAGAGAAAATAGAGGGCAGATTAAGTGACGTCACTGAGTGTAGTTGGTTGTAGGTTGTTCTTGTGTATACGTAGGATAGAATAGGATAGGAGGGATTTTTGAAATTAGACAATTGAATGGGAATATGAACAGGGATCATGAATAAAGGATGAGATTATGAGCATGGAGATGATGTGATAGAGATGCTGTGAGCGAATACGAAATTGAAAATGGATCTTAAGTGATATAGGTAGGTGATGATTGAATACTCGCTCGCTTGGTCGATAACTCGCTCGCTTGGTTAATTGGTTGATTGGTTGGTTAAATATTTGTTTGTTCGCGTGATTTATTTTTGATTGATTTATTTTTGATTGATTAATTGATTGATTGATTGATATGGGGATTTTGACTTGGGATTTTGACTTGGGGTTTTGGGTTTTGGGTTTTGGGATGATGGGATGATGGGAAGGGTTGGAGAAGGGGTGGAATGAGGGAATGGGGAGGGAGAGGAAATGGGGAAGGAGAGGAATTTAAAAGGGGGGAGGTTGTGGTAAGCGAGCGAGAGAGAGAAGAAGGGGGGGCGGGGCGGGGGTGGGTTACTTTTAGGAGGAGCGGTTGTTTTGTTTATTTTGTTTATTTTGTTTTGTTTATGGATGATTTTCTATGGGAGGGGGGAATCTGGGGGTTCTGAGTATGCTGTGTTATTGCTTTTCATGTATAATCTATTGGTTGTTATTTGATGATTTGATGATTTGAGAGAAGAAAGAAGGGAGTTTTGAAGTGAGATTTAAGGCATTTCGGAAGTGTTGCGATTGGGGGGAGATTTATTCATGGGGTTTTATTTTGGTTGGTTGGTTGGTTGGTTGATGGGTGAGTTGCTTGGTTGGTTGGTGAGTTGATGGGTGTACATTCTTCCATTTCTTTTCTTCTTTCGGTGGCAGAGGGGGAGAAGTATGGTTTTTAGGAGAGGATACGATATCTGGTGTTTGGATGGAGATGAGATGGTGATGGATTGGTCATGAGGAGGGATATGAAGGGGTATTTGTTTAATGTGGTTTTTGAGGAAAAGAGAAAAGAAGATGGTTTCTGGGCGGAAAACTGTCAGTGAGGTGATTCTTGAATCTTTGCTATAGGTAGGGGATAGGGAATGAAGTTTATGTAGGGAATGAGGGGGTGAATTGAAGTGAAGGGTTTGAGAGTAGACTCGGAGTTGGGTGTTGATTTTCTTGGGGAAGAGATTAGGGGGGGTTGTGTTTAATTCTTGTTTGTGTGTTTATTGATGTTGATGTTGAAGCCCAACAACAAAAACCGTCCGTTTCCGAAAGGGTTGATAAGCGATACCCTCACACCAGACCCTATCATCACAGTCCAGGAAATTGAGGATTCGGCGTACGATACGAAACAGCTCCTCGACCATGAAAAATTGCTTCCGGGACAGTTCAATCTAGGTCCTAATTTTGTACCATCTTTTGCAGACCAGGTAGAAGTGCTTAACAACCATGTAGCCGCGGCTCGCATCTCTATGACCGGTGAGGTAGGCCTCAACCAAGATTTCTTTGACACCGAACCCAATTTCATAAATCTAAAGACTGCCATCCGCGGGGTTTCAAATGCGCGTCGGGCGAACTTCAGCAAGCATAAATTAGGTCAACTATTTACAAATTGGCGAAGTCAAGGAATTACTCCAGTTTGCAAGACAGTCGTTGCAGTAGATTCTACACCTTATTTTGATATTGACACGGCCATGACAATAAGTGGCTCAGCCAACTCTGCAATTGACGCGAAAACCGTTGTGGATAGAATTATGGCTGGGGTTGGACCCCTGGTCCAAGACAAGACCGTTAGAAACCACGCAGCTGTTATCAGCAGGCTAGACCAATGGACAAGCGACCTTAACGCCCCTTGTTGATTTGGTACATCGGAGTACAGGCGCCATGGTAGATACATTTGCAACCAATAATTGTTTCAACATCAGGAAGCTGTATGGTCTTTTCAACCATCAAAGTCTGCTGTAGTTGGATGTGAATTTTGCTAGGTCAAGCACGAACCACTAGATACATATCCATTCGACATTCCATAACATACGGCTTTAGATAGTACCTACTAATTCACCGTGATCAATTAATAATCCAAATACAAAGTTCACCGTACAAAGCGCCATTATGATTTTATCCAGCTCAAATATCTTACTGTATAAGAGAGGCTCCCCGCTGATGCTAAAGGTTCTGCATTCCACCTGTTTAGGAATCCCATTCTCTTAACTGCAAGCCCGGTTTCCGAATCCTCTGTCGAAATCGATACGCACTCACCATATCATCCTATTGTACTTCTAAGACTATATCATGGCGACCGAATTTACTAAATTTCCAGAATTGCCATTAGAGCTACAACGCAAGATCTGGAGGTTTTGTGCCATGTGGATCGTGTCATGGAGCTTGACTGCCCGGATCCAGAAGTTATGAGAACAAAGTGTGTCATGAAATTGACATCCAATGCAAACGCACAACAGCCAGCATATAGTCTGGTGTGCCACGAGGCGCGCGATGCCGCATTAAAGGACGGTGGGTATTTATGGAACCTACACACGTTGTGGAAAGCAAAATGATTCCAGAAGAAGCCAGATTGGGAGGACCCAAACCTGCTCAACAATCCGTGGTTTAATCCAGGAAAAGATATTATGCATCTCAATGGGGATCAAAGCGATGCGGAGGACTACGAAATATCTAGTGATCAAATCCCACATCAAACTCTCATTGCGTATGCCAAAATCGCTCGGGGAGGCTCATTCATGGCAACTCTTGTACATCCTTTCGAGAAGCCAGGGTATTTTTTCTCTTCCCAACCCCTCATTGACGAAGTCAAGGGCAACTTTCCACTCATTGAGCAGATGAACGGCTTCAAAGTCTGTCTCACGGTCATTACCATTCATGCCACAACAATACAGGTTGTTGAACGCTCGGCTGTTTGGGAGTTCGGCGGCGCCGGTCCAACTCGTCGAACCCTCGGATCGAGAGGCCATTCGTCGTATGTACGAATTGTGGCTCACTACTTTCCTGGAAGATGCTAAGTTAAAGGACTCTGAGCCTGTGGAAATATTTGAAGAAATGATTCCCACCCCCGATGACTTCGAGGCTCGTGTCTGCAAATGGCATGAGGAGTATGAACGTGTATGGCTCTGGTAAACATGGACCGAAAAGCATCGCTATGGAACTTTGAATAGTATTGATTCACCCCGAGATGTTTGGACTGGGCCAGACTTTGACCATCTAGGACGACCAATGACGGGCCTCAATCCGGAAAATATATATATGCCCAGCCACGAATTCAACAGGGCGCACCCGTGGCTTCAATCTATACTTGATAAGATGCCTCGTTTTCATCCGGTCATCATGTTCAGGTTCTGTGAAGCCAAGTGCACAATCGAGTCATAAAGCCATATGATCCTTCAACAGAGTTCCACTATTTTCCGAAGAAGTGAGGCGGCAGCAATTACTGAATACAGATAAAGCTTTCATGTGATCTTCTAATCATCGTCTGCACACAGAGTGGTAGATCCTTCAGGAAATGACCAGTCCCTCGTCGAGATTCGAGATAGCAAGTCTCCCCGCTAGTACTTTTGGTGGGATATGCACGAACAAAAATGATGAATTATTGGTACATGATAACATCTATTTTCAATACACAACCACCATTTCTCGTGAGATACTAGGAAAAAATCTATGGTTGGATTGGACATTCACTTTCTCCGACTATTAGTGGCAAACTTAGGGAGGGTTGCGATCATCCGGGCTACAAAAGTATTCACACACTAGTAGCAGCGAGGGTGGAGAGTGAATGGAGAGTAAATATAGCTATTTATTACCAAAATCATCAGACAATGTATATGAGAATATCATCAGTGACGATGTGAAGCTTGAAACCAGACATGACTATGAGTAATAAAAAGAATTGCTGCAATGTTAAAAATTACTAATCATTAGCTATTCCTTCATATATAATCAAGAAATTACAATCACGGATACGCTTCTTCTGCAATCTGCTCAAGCCACTTCTTCAAATCATCTGCAACTCGCTCTCCCATTTCAACATCACAGACAAAATCCTGCCAACTAACACCCACAGGTAATCCCGCTCCCTTGACACTAATAAGCGAGATCACAAAAGCCGGACCCGTAGTCTCCGCACTCGATGCGAATCCCGCTCGATGAAGTATCCATTCATTTTCTTCTTCCTGCTCGGCTTCCGCAGGCGATATCTGACTCTCATTATCGATTTTAGATTTTCCGTCGAAGGTCCCAGCATCTGTGATTGACCATGAGAATTTTCTGGGTTTTTGAGCCGCGTTTTTTATTCGTTGTCGCTGATTTTCTATGAATTTTATTGCTTCTGCAGAATCATTCTTCAAACCCCTCGCTATCCCCCTTTCAATTTCTCCACGAATACCTGCACCAATTCTCCAAATCTGTCTCAGCTGTCTGGGTGACAGAAGTAAATCCTGATTGCCATCTCCGGGGATTTTATCGCGTAGCTGGGCTATAAGTCTCTTATCAAAGTCATGCGAAACTGAAGTCTCGTAATTCCCCATCATTCTCTCTACATTCAATCCTGCCCAGCTGGACCTCGAGGAAATAGACGGTATGAATCTTCGCATATCCAGCGTCGTACAACTTTGAAATGCAGATGCTGTGTTATCGTCTAATTGTGACGCTAGTGAGATAGTCATGAGTGCGTGCAGAAGACTGATAAGTGTACTTTTTTTCTTGCGACATGCGACGTGAATATCGTGGAGTGTGGTTCTGGAGATGAAGAATGAGCGATGTTGGGTGGAGTATGGGATGAGATGGATGGGTGCCCAGTGAGCTAGAGTCAATGTTTTCCGTGATATAGCTGCTGGATGGAATGATTCCCAGAGAGTTTTGGCGAGGAAAGATATACCGAGAGAAAATTTATGGAGTTTCTCGACTGGTGGCGGGAGGATTGGAGTTGGATGAAGTGGAATGAGAGAAGCTGCTGTGGTGTTATCTCCAGTGGCATCATGCTGAACTGTCATTTTAAGAGGTCGAAATAAATCTTCCTGGAAGATGCTCCCGCTGATTCCATCGCCATACACTTGACTCCACGTAAAATGTACTTCTATTAGATTAATTCTTTCTTGATATAATACAACAACTCTCCACCCTGGTTTTTCTTCAATTTCATAAAAATTGCTATCGATTTCGGAAAGAGTGAGTTCTCTCGAAACATCATCGAAATCCTCGGGTGTTTGCAAAAAACGCCATGTGAGATGTTCATTTAGATTTAAATGTTGTAGCTGTTTCCACGCTGGATTTTTAGAGTCCGCATCAACTGTTACAGCTTGTAAGATTGAATGAAGGAGAATTACTTCGATCATAGCGGTTTCGAACATACGTATGAGACGGTTGGGATTGGATGAATGGTTCGGGGATGATGTGTAGCGACAGGTGATAGATTTGTTGCGATGGCGATCTAGTTTATGAAGAGCTAGGTAGTACGCTTCTCTATGCTTGTCAGTATGCGTTTCCCAATGTTAAGAAGTGGGTGTACTGACTTGTCACCCAATTTGCGGAAACTTTTGATTTTCTCGCTGTTATCGGCTGGTGTGGTCTTTGGGCCAAACTTGAACATTGTGAGAATACGAGAAGAGTCGAGATGAAAACGGGACTTCAAATTTGGGAAAGCAGGTTGAAATGACTTCGAAGTTTACGCAGTTTATGATAGTGAGGGTGATTATTCTTTTTTCGAGATTTTTGAGTACCTCTATATTCTTACGGCTAGATCGCGGCATATTGGATGGTTGACTTGAGAGTGAATTGCATGATGTCGTTGATAACTTCAGTTTCGCGGTATAGATAAATGTGAGCCGATACTCTTCACAGAGGTCGTGCATGAAAATAGTGAATAAACGCAGGAGAGAATAGTGATTGCGGGGTGATAAATGAATGCAAATTAAAAAAGGGAGGCATAAGATTAACGCCCCGACACGACCTTCGGTGTTTGAGCTCTTAAATGTAAAATTTGGGAATGAAGAACTTCGAGTAATGAAAGAAGATTCAATATTTTGACCTATTTTAGTGTTTGAAACTTCTCCAGTGCTCACAGTCTGGTCGATGTCAAATGTATCATCAATATATGAGCACTACCTATAGTGTTCAATGATTTTAGGTTCCTCAACTTTCAAGTCCTAGATATCCCCAAGCCTATTGATGTTTAAACTCCTCCGATGATTAGGTAGAAATGGGAAAATTGATGACCTTCATAAATCTGCATCATCTTCATCTGGGAGTGGCATTTGATCATGACCCATCCCATCTCCATTGTTTTCAAACGCGGAGTAATCTTGAAAGCCAAGAACCTCAACAGCAGGGCTAAAAGGCAAAGTTCGGAAAGTTCTATCGTCAGGATCCGTATTCGAACTTGTGCTAGTACCCAGATCTTTGTTCTCCGCCCCAATCTCTTCCTTAATATTTTCCCTGTCCTCCTTATTCTCCTGGTCGTCATCTTGATCTTCTACGTCACTATTATCAGCATGGCTATCGTACTCTAAATCGTCTTCGTACACGTCTTCCTCCGCGTTATCGCTATTATAAAAATGCTTGTCTTTTTCCATCGGAAGCCAAATGTCATCATCTTTATTCGAGATCAGAAGTTCTAGGTGGTCGGGCAATAAGTCCTTGTCAAGTGGAGTGAGAGGTTTGTGACCAACAACTGTCGGCTTTTGATTCTTGACACACGTAAATAAGGAAGGAGTCCTGCCTGGCTTTGCTATAACATATCGTATGATAGGTGGATACTTGAACCAGGTATGTTTATTGATATTTTCTTGATAGTCTAACACAATTTGATTAGTTACGTATGTTTTGGAAAATCCTCTTGACGGAAGGACCCAATTACCATCTTCGAACTTGGAGAGTTGTTTTCTAAAGTCTTCTAAACTTTTCTTTCTTCGTTCTGCTTCTTTGAATAAAACGGAGTTAGGCTTCTCATAGCCCTGGGAGGTAAACCTTCGAGAGGAAAGAGGCTCATCACGACCATCTACTGGCTCGACAAAAGTGACGCCATGGTCCAGGGTAAAGGCTACATCATTTAGAACGACGTATATTTCCTCACACATCTGGTACGGTAGAAATGCTATTGTTCCTAATGTCCAGCTCATTACGTTGCTGTCCCATTGCGGACGCGGATCATGCCATAGCTGATGGTTTATGGCAAAGATCTTTACCATACGATATGAAGGACATCCTTCATACAATGCCAAAGAGGTAGGAAGTTTGCACTCAGAATTGTCAACGAGCCACATGATATCGGCGTCTGGGTTCATGTAATGTTTTGGAAGTTGTGCATGGCAATTGTCGTCCCCCCACGAACCGTAATTGCAAAATGTGAAATGAGAAAATTGTAGCTGAATGCCCTCATCATATGCCTCCTTGCATGTTTGCATAATTTCCGTAATCCTGCTACGAGTTGCCACGTAGCTAGATACAATGTGAATGTGAGGACCTATCAAAGCATGTTTCCAGATCTGACGTCGAATTTCCAATGGAAATGTCGAAAACAACGGAAAGGAAACGTCCTCGTGTAGAGTAATACTGGTACCTAATGTCATCAAAGAATTAGAGACATTCAAAATACCCCAAAAGCTTCAAAGTATAATAGTCATTCGGAAGCTTTCGGAAATTCTAAGTACCTGATATTCCCAGAGAATCTGACAACACATTCAAAGGTTCTCAAACTCTGTATGATATTGCACCTTCGAAGGATTTCAGCTTCTGAAAGTGAAGTAGACTTTTGCATACCAGTAAAACTACCCATTACATTGCCCAATTCATTCGTAGCATCCATATTGCTGATACCGATGGCTTGAGACAGATTCTGACGATGATGATATCGCGGAAAATATGGCAGTCCCCAAGAGTGGTGGTGATTCAGCCCGCATCAGCTAGAGTATCCTAGACGAACTCTCTGCTTGGAAAGATTGAATAAATATTGTACTTCGAATGATTTCTAAATATTGTTGAATGATTCTATTGAAAAAATCTGACTTAATCAGGTAGAGATTAGTTATATCAATATTGATGAGTAAATGGTGTTATGGCTTGTAACATAATCCATGGGTAAAATAGTAAAACATGATCCAAAAGACAAAGTAAGCTTACCTAATGGCCCGTGAAGCTATCCGATTGCCAACTCTGCATAAGCGTTATGTCTCTGAGGCTTGAACTGTAAAGAATATCTTTGACTGAATATTGAAGCTGAATCTTTTAGATAGGAAAGAACAATGTATATAATGGTTGACTGGAAATGTTATTGTTGTTTTTGCTCTACTGTGCTGCCTTGGGATGAGTACAGAATCTCGTTTATCAATCGCGCTAAACTCAATCAATCTCAGTCATTTACTATCACGTGCGGGCGAAAAGACCGCTCAACACATAATGATTGATTTACTCCTCAAAAGAGTTTTTTAATCTATTATCCGTTTTGTTTGACAAAAAAAGAGTATCAGCCCACTCGATACTGGCCGTCGTACTCTAAATCTGGTGTTGACTCAAGTAGTAAGGTAAATAGATGGTTGAGCCAACAGCCGAATCCAAGAAGATGCTTCGGTACATGTAGCGAGTTTGTTCTGAAGAGTAATGGACCTCTTTGACTTCAGTTGCTATCATATAAAGGGTAAAAATCATCTCAAATCATCAAGACACTAAGGTTATCAGATAATTAAAGAATAGAAGCTCATCTTGCAGCTCCTTCGCTACCCAGGGTTTTAACTCTATATGAGCCTGTCGTATACTTGTCAAATATGCTTGCAGAAAGAGATTGCTTGATACTAGAATCTTCGATTACTCAAGTCATCAAGATATTAAAAGAGTGAAAAGTCAGTTCGCTTTGCATTATTCAACGCATTAACAACCCGTGATATTTTTAACAGTGCTAATCAAATTCCATCCATCTATGCTTAATCGGATATGGGGTATCATTACTTTTTGCAGATTATCCTTTTCTTGCGTCTGCTACCATTCATATTCATCACTTTTCTTATGCCATTCACCAAAGCCATCTTCTACACGATTTAGCTCCACACAAGCACTTCTCACTTCCCTGCTCTCCATCATCCTTCCCATCCACATAATCGAAAGTTAGCTCCGTCATTGGTCGAATATCTTCGATTGCGAAGAAAGCCAAATCATGAAGGTTTTTCTCAGAATAATCTCCAACACGAGCAAAGATTCTCATGTTGGCTTCACAGGAATGGTTAAAGAAACGACTAGGTCCTGCGTAAAATTCTCCGTCGATAACATATGGATCACCACGTAAAGTCTCGTCGAGACTGTCCGGATCGGTGAACTTATCGATGTTGAAGAGGTAAAGATCTTTTCTTCTACTGATAATTGCATTGTCGCGACGTCTGTCGGCCTCCTGAGCGGTGATTATCTCGCCAATATAGCAGTCGATAAATGCACCGGCTTTGATGGGAACTTTGCTTCTGACACCTACGATTCGTTAGATTGTTGATTCTAAAATTGGAGAATAATAGACATTACGTACCCCAACCACGATTTTCGGTGCGAAAGACTTGTAATGGTACGCGTCGTCCTCTTGCAACAATTCGATTATCACAAGTTTCATCACAAGCACAGGCTTCATGACACTCGTAGATAGGTGCTTTGCTATCCAAAAGCTGCTCTTTCAAACATCCTTCGCTATTGCCCCCGCTTGATAGGCATATACATTATGATCTGGTAGATCAACCTCCGAATCTTGGAGACAGTGGCAAGTCAATCCATGGCAGTTGTGACTGCATTCACATCCGACTCGAAACTCAGGATCAGCCCGGGAAACTCCTTTCCTGAGAATAGACTTTTCGATAAACGTGAAATCCTCAGGAAGAGTTAAGCTTTCGTCTTTGCAGACAATGGAGATTGGGTATTCCTTTGCATTGGAGAAGCTGCGGATTTGACACCAGTGACAGTCTTTGAGGGAGGGCTGAGAGAGATAAGTTAGTTGTTGCTTGATTGATAGAATTCAGGGGTCAAACAACAAATGAAATATTCAAACGATGAAAACATTATAGAGTTTCAAAGGAAGAAGTCCAGACAATAGAAACCCGCTTGATTCTACTCAATGTTCGGGTAAAACTCTGAAATTCTCGAAAAGTATCCGAGTAACCTCCCAAGCCTCGGATCATTCCCGAGAATTCTTGTGAATCTGTCATCTTGCTCCATACACCACTGTGAGCAGTGAGGACAGAATATCTTATTCAAAATCATTCAATCTCCAACAACACAATATCATCTACTCATGTCTCCCCACCTTATACACAACAAACCTATACCCACAAAAAGAAACAAGTACAAGTACAATAACAACCTTTTTTTCATCCCCCTCGTCGCTATGATTCCAGAGCTTCATTTCCCATTTTCGTCAAACTACCTACTATTGTTCGAAAACCCTGGCTTTTCTACTCACTATTCAAAGCCCACTCAGACTCCTGTAAACCAGACCACACCACACCATAACCTCAATCACCAGCTCACCCAACCAAACCAAACGAAACCAAATTACAGAACGAACGAACGAACGAACACAAAACAAAGCAAAGCAAAGCAAAAAAACAAGAACTCACAACTTCATGACCAAAATAATGATCTCTATAAGTCGGCGCCATAATCTTCGTCGAATAGGTTTTCAACATACGTGCTGCTTCTTCTAACTTCTTCCCCTCTTTCAACTTCTTCAAATCACTATGGAAACTCGATTTACTCGACTTGTCCCATTTATTCATTGTGGTTGGTTCGCTTCGTGTCTCTGTCTGGTGGAGAATAGATGTAGTTGAGAATGTTAATAGAAACACACCTTTGATATTGTATTTTGAAATTGTATTCATCTAGAGTTTTGGAGACGAAGATAAAGTAGATATACGTAAGGATCTAGCTATCTATAAAGATCAGAATCACCTCTCAAAACCCTTTCTAAATCACAAAATTATTATTGTTTGCCAGTCCAACCTAGTAATTCACTCAGTACCGTTTGCTCCCGGCAAGGGGTGCGGATAGCTCCTTCCCTAAAACCACACCACATCAAATAGCTATCCAATCGATTATCCCCACAAAAAGCGGTCAACATCTTTACTCGCGGCAGAATATATTTTTATTTTCGACTCTGGTATCAAACCATCTCCAGATATCTTTGCGCGGGGAATTTCAAACACATCTTTTTTCCCATTCCCAATTCAACAACTCCAACTCCAACTTCAATTCTAACGCCAAAATGTCGACGGATATCAGGGATACGAAGTTAATCAAGGAGTTAGCTGCAAATGGTATGTTCTATCTCCTCCTAACCCTACAATTCCAATCCCATCCTAACCCCCCCTCCCAGACAAAAAAACCCGCGACGCCGCCCTCCTCTCCCTCCGCACCTATCTCTCCGCCTCGCGCTCCCTCACCCCCCTCGACTATCTCAAAATCCACTCCGGTCTCTTCTACAGCATGTGGATGTGCGACCGACCCCTCCCTCAACAATCCCTCGCCAATTCTCTCGCCTCTCTCCTCTCCTCCCTCTCCCCCTCCACCCAAGCACCCTTCTACACCGGATTTTGGGAAATCATGTCTAAAGAATGGGAGCGCATTGATGTGCTGCGCATGGAGAAATTTCTGCTGCTCGTAAGACGCTATCTAGCCGCTGGCTTTGAGGTTGTGGTTTCCGGCTCTTCAGCTTCTGCTGCTGCGGGAAAGAAAAATAAGAAAGCGTCGAAGAAAACTGTTTCGGATGCTGGAGAACAGATATTGGAAGTTCTGTCTTCTATTCCCTGTGGTTCGGGTCCCGATGCGCAACGCACACCGAATGGAATGCGCTTCCATGTAATCGATATCTGGATTGATGAGCTTGAGAAATTGGGTGCGATTGACGCAGCAAAGGAGAGTGAAGAGGGCGCGGAGAGATTGGAGAAATTGTTGGAGCCGTTGAGGAAATTAAGCAAGGAGAGTATTAATAAGACGGTTAGGAATAAGTGCAAGGAGGCACTAGGGGATGAGCGCCTGCCGGGGAATGAGAAGAAGGAGGGTGCGGAGGGAGATGATGTGGAAATGAGTGATGCGAGCGAGGGGGAGGAGGAAGGATGGGGTGGGATTGACGATTAAGGAATGAGAATTGAAGGGCAAATGTCGAATGTCGAAAATAGTGAAAAGCTGAATTCACATGGAAAAACATTTCTTTCGGTGTTAAAAGAGGATCTATGGAAGAAATTCCACGGCGTCTAGGGGTTATTTTGAGGACATTCAATATCCAATGTAAAAAGTCATTTCACATTCAGAATTTCTCATAGTAGAATAGAAAAGATCTCTAATTTTGACAATATATAAATATCAAGTCGCTGACGCGAATCAAACCATCTTTGGGTATCATTTGAGGTCAACTATAAGTACCACAATGTCTGAAAGAAAATTTAAACGCCTCGCCCAGATCCTATCTTACCGAGAGCCCCTTTCCCCCCCATGCACACATAACAACCCATGAAATTATGAAAAAGAAGTTCACCCACGAGCCAAGGAAGACTCAAACAAAACCATGGGACTCATACATGTGTCCTGTTTTCGAGAGTACCGTACCCAATCCCTTATGTACCTCGACTTGAAATGGTTGAAAGGGAACCCTCTCCCCATCAATACTTATATACCCATCCCCTTTCTGTTTCGGGATGATTCTATATCCGAGTATTTTACGATACCATACGTCAGGAATATCGAACAATTTTCCGTTTTCCACCGACAACATCATCTTGATAGCTGAAAGACGACTTATATCGCCGTTGATACATACGAGATCCATGTAACCGTCACTTGGAAGGGCAGCGGAAAAGAAATTGGCATCTGAGGCCATGTATGCCATCTGGATTCTTGTGTTAGCATTTGTGTGATTCTGGCGTGCAGATCAGAGTATTCAAAAGCCGAGAAATCCTCAAGATGTTCAAACTTTTCAATGTTTAAATAAAATGTAGGATATCCGGGAATCGCTCAAGCCAAGAGGATGAACTCACATTTCCACAGTAGAAATTTCCCAATTTATCATATGGAACCATTTCCCAACCCTCCGGCAATTTGTCGCTCACAGTACCATATCTCAACGGAGGCAACCCATCTTCCGTCCCACTGCTAGCCGAAGCATCGTCATCTAAAAGGTATCTGTATCCCCTCCTCTCGCTTGCCGGTTCGTGATTGCTCATCTCCTTTCTATAATAATCTTTTATACTTGGTTTATCTTCTATCGCAACCTTAATAGCAATATCACATGGATAAATTGCTTGTCCAATAAGTCTCTCTAGGAACCCATATGTGAATCGTGCACTTCCCATCCATCTCAAATGTTCGGTAGCTAAATCAGCCTCGGCCACAATCCCTACAGATTGAGATAGGAAACTGATTGTTCGTGTTTCTCCTTGTGTGACCGACATGAGATCTAGCGGCGTGGGAATCCCCTTGATAATAGCCAAAGTAGCCAAACTTGCACTGGCCGTTCCGTTCAAATTCATACTCATAGCGTTTCCACTTCCGCACGGTACATGCGTCACTGCAATCTTCGATAGGGCTCTTTTCGCATCGTGTCTCTTCCCCAGGCCGTTGAATACTTCATGCGCCAATCCATCTCCGGAACAGCAAACCACCATATCGTAAGCTTCAACATCCATATCCTCGACAATCGTAACCGCATTCCCCTGAAATTGCGTCTTCACCATGTCAATACTACAGTTCGCTGCCTTCAGAAGTGGTTCCACATCCCGATCATAGTATTTCTGCGCGTTTCCCTTGCCACTATGAGGGTTCACCAGGACCTTTGCTCGTTTTGTTTGTTGTGATTCGCCGTACGATCGATCTAATAATTTTCCAATCCATTTCTCGACTTCTTCCGCAGAATGTGATTCAATCGCATATTTCAGCTCTGTAGCTTGTACTCTCGATTTCGATGTCGGCGCAGCATATCGAATCGCAAGCTCTTTCGTGTCTAATATCTCCGCCCAGAGGACGTTGTAGAAAGGAATTGGTCTGGTATTCGCAGAACCTGTGCAAGATATCAGTATGACGTAGATGTACAGGAGACACTTAGCCGGACTCACTCGAAGCAAAAGTCCAAAATCCACAACAAGTTGCGCTCTCCTTTTCAAAAGCCTCATCTTCATCCCATCACATCAGTACAATTACTTCAATTTCCCTAAACTCCGACCCTCAAAACTCACCAAGCACAATCAAAGAGTCCGTTCCCAAGGTCAAAGAAGCATTTCTTCCTACCGTCAACGTTCCATCAGTCACAAACGCTTGCTCCCGCACATATTCGTCACTAGTAATTCCCATCGTATCGATAAACGGATGATTCGAATCCATAGAAGAAGCCATGGTCACCTAAACTGTGTCGATATCCCAAGCATTCTCTCACTTCCTCTCTCTTAGTATAATGACCTTTCGTCTCTGTCTATCCAATCATAGTATGGTGCTTATTGTAACGAGTGACTATAGATGGTGACTATCAAAATGTGTCATGCACAGAATATGAGATAAATTTAAGTTCAAGTTTCTCGAGACTTTTTTTCTTTGTTCAATGAAGGGTGGTTTCCAAGATTTCGTAGGGTTATCGTTAGTACTCTCTCATAGTACTTACAAATGCAAGGGGCCCGTCACAGTTCCCAAGAAGCCGAGCTTCAAAACAAGATGGATGATGATGCACGGAACACAAACTTCAAAATTTCCGATCATTCAACCCAGTCATGGGTTCCCTTCTTCGATACTCGTAAATGTGATGGATTGTATGGAGTAATCGAATTTCTATTATTCATTAAGGTGAGGGGTGATACGTTATGAGGTCGTTTTTTTTTATCGCTGCTACTACCTACCCGGCCAAGCTACGTGGGTACTACCTGCTGCGTGAATGATACTTGTTATAATTGCATGATTCTGTGCATATTCATTCAATTGGTGCAAAGGTCCCATGGAAACTAAAATTGAGTTCTGACAACGTGCAGAACCCGAAAGTCTTAATTTTGCCTCTCGTTTCGTGTGCCAACAGGAGCGGAGGATATTTGGCATGGAGGCAAATCTCACATGTTAGGTGTAGGTAGTATGTACAAGCGAGCAATAGAACTTCAATACCGTATTGGGAGAATTCAAAATATTTTATGGTACTCGAGTAATGCCTCTCTGGTTCTAGATAAAACTCCTTTTTGTGCCTTTTTTGCGCAAAATTCCCCAATCATCATCATTTCAACGACCAAAATAAAAGGCAGGCTTACATGTAACACAACACGACTTGAACTAGATTGACGCCTTTAGTTGAGCCTGCTTCAGCCTTCCAGTGGCTTCCTATTTTTCTCTCCATCTTCATCTTATTAGCAGTTGTAACTGTTCCCCAATGTCCATTAGTCCAGACGCAATAAATTGATGATACAGGTTTGTCATCATTTTTGGCTTCCTTATGCAACCTCTACAACCTTATTTAACCCCTTTAATGACCCCAAACTGAGTGCTAAACCTTGAGACCTGCTTCTGATACGAACAAATCCAGTCACTGGTCCATCCTCACCTTCTTTCTCGATGCTGAGATTAGCAAGAGCGTCCTCCCCTAAAATGTTGTTAGTAAATGATCACATTTCGTAGTAGTAGAAAGGATGTAACTTACCGAAAACACTTCGAGCATAAAGATTAGCACTCAAGAATTGACAATCGCCCTTTAATGAAGCCTCAGGAGTCAAGCAATTCATATTTGTGCAAGCCATAAGTTGATCTAAGAAATCTCGTA